ATAAACTCATATAAATTTGGTGTGGGTCCCATATCTAATAATTGAGATATAGGTATACCCAAATCCACCAGCCGCCACTGATGTGTGGTATTATTTGATTTTAAGATATTTAATGTATAATATGCTCAGTTGCAATAAATCTTATATTTTCCAATAAATTATGTATTTAATTAGTACCCTGGTATACTCGTCACTTCCCTTGCATTCAAATTTAGAAAACACACATATTTCAGAAACTGTTTAAAAAAGTGACCTGTCCGGTCTGAAACAGTATATTTATTATATTATCTATGTTCTCATAACAAAATACGGTTTAATTTTCTCCGAAAACTATGTATATAAACAAAATGAGGTCAAAAGTTGCCCAACTTTTGTAGAATCACCCATATACATATATTTATATATATTTTTTATTTATTTATATATATCCAACAGGCACAGGGCCCAATTACAATAATAAGTTTTATACATTGTATTTATTTTAATCCCAAATCTTTCTTAATCAATATCCTTATTTATCTCTATCCAAAATCCCCATCTTGATAATTATCCACATTTCACGTTTTCATAATCATTATTACCTTCTAGATATTTGAAATTAATGTTTTTTGCTGTTAACTTGTAAACTGTTGACTTTAGAAAAAAAAGTAAATACTTTTTGTAGGAAACTTGGTCTTCTTAAAAAAAATTGATTAAACTGATATTTTAAGACATAATAATACATTTTATGTAACTATTTCAAATTTTAGTCATTAAAAAATAAAACAAAAAAATATATATTGACTAAATCTTTAAAAAATTTACAATTTGTAATTGTTTTGGTAGGTACCTACAAAATGAAATAAGTGGGAAAAAATTAATATAAATATTATTTAATTATAAAACCATTAGGTAAAAATGACATTTTGCTAAAATTTTAAATTTTAATTACTTTAATTTTAAATACCTACATCTGTTGTTTTAGAAATTTATTTAACTTTTTTTCTGAAGTCAACCGTTTACAAGTTTTTGCTAAAATTATAAATTATATTTTACTGCTGAATTTGTTTTTTTTTAAACAAAATGTAAAAAAAATCAATTAAAAAAAAGGTGAACGAAACAAAATAACGATGTTTTTTACGTTGTTACGTTCCCTATAGAGAGGGTATGGGAAATACCCATAACCCCCCTGATAATAGGTCGATTTTGGGTCTACAACAGAAAAGTTTTATTTGTTAACTGTAGTGCATGTGCCAAAATGTTTTTATTAAGTTAGAGTATAATTATTATTTTTTTAAGAATAAATGAGTGAATCTCACGAAATCGTCACCCTAATATAACAAGGTTGTATGTTAAAAAACCGAAATATTTGAGTTTATGCTTCTACAAGGTTTTATGTAATCCACCCTTGACATACAACTTGAAAATAACTCTATATATATTTATACATAGAATATACATTCTATAGAATTATTTTTAAGTGGTATGGGAAGCGTAGGCCACGGATAATCCTTTAGAAACATAGACTTAAATTTTTCGTTTTTTTTAACATACAACCTTGTTATATTAGGGTGACGAAATGTCTCCCGATGTTGTTACCCCGATATTTAATAAAACTAAATGAGTTTGACCTACACTTTTATTGTGTTTTGATCTTTCATAATTAAGTAGATATTACAGCTTAGGTTCCAGATTTTTAACCGCAATTAATCACTTTTTACAATGTTTTAAAAGTCTAAAACCTATCCTCGTGATATTTAATAAAACTAAATGAGTTTGACCTACACTTTTATTGTGTTTTGATCTTTCATACACTGTTTAAAATATCTGTGGTGTAAAAAGTAATCCTAAAATGGTGTCAAAATCCAACACCAAGTGGTGTTAATATAACACCATGAATTATGGTTGAAAATGAACACCAAAACGGTGTTTATCTAAAAATATTTAAGAAGTGCACCTACACAGAAAAAAAAGAAATAGTTCATTTAACTATATTAATTTAGTTGACCCATAAGTATTTATTTTTTTGTGGATCACGTGATGTTCTTAAATCTCGCCTCTGTTGACTTACATGAAGAATATATAAGCCCATGTTGTCCTTTGCTTTGGTGTGACACTACAAGTTGTTCGATACTAAACCTTAAATAGGTCCTATTTAATAGGTGGAAACAGCTGTCAATACTTGAAGTATTTTAAGTTAGTGGAACGAACTAAAAACATTATCTCTAGCGAGTTGAAGGTTCCATTTTCTGGAATAATACCACTGGTAATGAACTAGTAATGCGTCAAGGAACTTCCTGTTTCCTTTTTTTTCCTTTCTGTGTAGTATGATTTAATTTGACCACAAACACATAATATTTAACACTGAAAAGGAGTTCAATTTACACCAGGTAAAATTTATTTTAATACTGTGTGAAAGTTAAATTTACACCATTTTATTATTTGAATTTACACCATTTTAGTATTTAAATTAACACCGGACCAACGAACCCTATTTAACACCATTTTGGTTTGTATCGATATAGACCACATATGGTGTTAATTTGGTGTTAAAATGGTCATTAAATTTTGAACAGTGTAATGAAGTAGATATTACAGCTTAGGTTCCAGATTTTTAACCACAATTAATTACTTTTTACAATGTTTTAAAAGTCTAAAACCTATCCTCCGTGACTGTTACTCTTTCTAGGTTAACCTATATGTTTTCAAATATCTGAGGTAGTAAAAGCAAATTAAACACATCCAAAACAATCGAATCAAATATAAAATATTATTAAAAATTAAAAGTAATAATTTTTAGAACCATTTATGTAGGTGTTCTATCCTCCGTGAATCTGTTTTTGCTTTAAATTTTATGCAACGGATGACGCTTTAATCATTTTAAATAAGCAAAAACCTCTGTTTACGACATTATAGATGCATATGATTCCTGAAGGTCAGTTAGAATTTATATGCAGATAAGAGTGTTGCTGTTTTATAATTCAAAAGTTAAAGTTCATTAATTTGCTATTTGTGAAGTGTAATATCTCAGTAAGTAGATTTTTTTATAAATATTTTATGTATGTACAATTGTATTTTTAAAAAATATTAAGGTGTCAAAGGTAACAATAACTTATTTCAAATATACAATGGGATGTTTTAAAAAAACAAACGAAATCCTTACCTCCGTGAAGCTACCTTCCGTGAAGCTCTAATATTCAAAATGTATGATTTCTTAAAATTCTTGCATTAGTGCAGAACCACTTATGTTATGCTATTAAGACCTGGTGGCTTCTCGAAAACCCCATTCTAGACTAACAGTGGAACAACCAAAAATAATTCACTTGGGGGACATCTCAATATATTCACCCAAATATTTTTGTTTTTTTTTGTAAAATATAAGAATAAAATTAAACTATAAAGATCATAAAAAAATTTCAAAACACAACTGTTTTCACATTCTGGGGGAGGGTGTTTTAAACACCCCAAAACCCCCTACGCCCCTGGTAACAAAAGCCAATGTTATGGCCGTTTTCCTGTTAATATTTATTCTTAATTCGAATTTTTTTGGTAAATTTAAAGGAGAAATATATTTCAAATAAATATTTATTTACAATTCTTTTCTAAGGTTTACAAGTTTTTGCTGAAATACACTCACAGGCAAAATAATCGATCCACACAAATTTTCGATGAATTTCAATCTCAAATAACTTTTTTATTTGTTTTCGGATTTAAACCAATATTAAAGAAAATTGTAGATACATTAATGGAGAATCGCTCACATTTTAAAAATTACTAAAAAATACACGTACGTTTATAATATACAGGTTTAAACAAAATGTTTTTTTACCATAAGTTTAAGACACTCTGTAGAGTGGAAAAACCGTATATTGTTCTAAATTGTGTTTTATTTATCAAGTCACATCTATTTTGAACAGTTTTGTTTTTGGCTCACCTTGATATATTTTTTGTGTGAAAAATATGGATATTTTTAAAAAAACATTGCAATTTCCAATATTTTTCCTGTATAAAGAACTAAGGTTGCTATGGTCCATCCATAGCCTATGGAGGATGACAGTGACAGTTTTGTTGAATCATCCCATACTTGGACATGTCATATACAGCTTTCAAAAGCTATCAAATTGTTTTTTGTAAATTAATGTGTTAATTTTGAGGTGTCTTCTCACTTTTAAAAATGTCTCCGACTGATGTTGCCCTTTGTACTTTACTTCTTGTGACGTTTAAAACACTTGCCACGTAATACTGTGACCGTCCATCCTGGATTAAATTAATGGCTCTGGCAACATCAGTCGGGGACATATCCATTTTTTAAAGTAAGAAGACACCTCAAAATTTGATAGCTTTTGAAAGCCGTGTATGACATGTCAAAGTATGGGATGATTCAACAAAACTGTCACTGTCATTCTCCATAGCCTATGGATGGACCATAGCAACCTTAGTTCTTCATACAGAAAAAAATTGTAAATTGCAATGTTTTTTTAAAAAATTTTCCACAAAAATAAATATATCGAGGTGAACCAAAAACAAAACTGTTAAGAATAGATGTGACTTTATAAATAAAACTTAATTTAGAACAATATACGGTTTTGCCACTCTACAGAGTGTCTGGTAAAAAACATCTTTTTGTTTAAACCTGTATATTATAAAAGTACGTCTATTTTTTAGTAATTGTTTAAAATGTCAGCGATTGTCCATTAATTTATCTACAATATTATTTAATATTTGTTTAAATCCGACATCAAATAAAAAAGTTATTTGCGATTGAAATTCATCGAAAATTTGTGTGGATCGATTATTTTGCCTGTGAGTGTACATTAAAATACATTTAATTAATTTCGAAAAATTTTGGCAAGCATCGGCAACGCCGGGCGCCGCTGTACGTGCACCCGTGACGCAAGCACGAACCGGGCGGCGCTTGATACTAAACAAACGGTCGTCATGGCAACGGCGAGTGACGTCGTCGCGTGACGTCAGCACGGCGAGCAGCGCGGCGCTCCGAACGGTGTTTTATATATCGACGACGGAGCGCCAGCGCTGTCATTGTAAGCGCGAATACGCGGGTGCCCAAGTGATCCGTTACTAGTCCACACTTTTATATTTTTCTACTTTTATATACATACTACCTTATTACTACATTATTATCACAATTAATTGGTCGTATTATTATTACACGGTATAGTTGTTCGTTTATTGGTTTTGCAGCAAGTTTTATTTTCAACAATTCTTCTATTCATCAAACGCTTTTGGTAAGTACCCTTTAACCATACGATAAGTCCTTTTTGTCCTTTGGGGTTAGATCAAGGATAACGCCAAAATTGTTCCTAAACTTTTTTAATTTTGGAACAATATTTTTTTAACATCACAAGGTTTATTATTTAATTACTTTAAAACATTGTCCTAAAACAAACATTTAATAAACATAAAATAACAATGTTAATAAAACTCTTAACATTAAAACCCAACATTGAAAAATCCCAAAGTTATCAAAGAATCTCACATCTTTTGAAATAATAACTTTTAAAAACATAAATATATTTCGTTATACCTACATGTACATATATATATCACATGTATCTCAGCTGATCTTTACGTTATAATAGTAAATTCGCAGCGGTGGGGATTTTAAGTATATTTGGGCGTAACTGTCTCCTTACTCCTGCACCGTAATGATTTTTACTGCTCCGGAAAATGCCCGATTTACACTACCCCAAATTTTCCGATATTCCCCCAAATATACACCCATCACTAGGTCAGGCTTTAAAATTTAATTTAGATTTATTGAAGTGATTTAAATGTGTGTCAAAAATTTATTAATTTATTGATTAAACAAGTTTTGATAACAAAATAATTCTAATATTCTGTTTATAATAAGAAAGGTTTATATCAGTGAAGTATGAACGTTTAAAATAATGAATTAGTGATACAAAACAGTAATTTTAAAACATTTTGTTCAGTTCAATGTATTAATATGTTTTAACAAACTGTTGTTTTATAAACATTTTATAAATTCATGACTTTTTAATAAACTTGAATAATAATAAAATGTCTATGAATAAGTGCATTGGTCTTTTTTAATCACGCTATGACCCATAATAACATGTGTTTAAATACTAAAATTGGTCATTTGTTATGTACACAATTTTAAAAAATAAAGTATTATTAGGTATAATTTTATAATAACGTTGGTCTGCTATCAAAACTTTTACTGTATGTTATCTTTTAAGATCACTTTCAGAAAATCCTTTATTAAATGACATTTTATATACCTACCATAAATTTTGCAGAGCCCGTGTAAGCGTTTTTATACTTCAGTGCCAGTAAAATGGTCTTATAATAGTTTTGTAGCGGTGTCCAAATTTGTCGAGTTTATTTTTAAAACAGCAAAAACGATTCACAACGTTATTTAAATAGCAATGTTTTGACAATACTTTAAGATCCTAATCTAATATATTAGCAATACCATATTAAAAAATATTTTGATGAAGGCTTTTTAGTTTTAATTTAAGTTATAGCTTATAAGCTTAACGAAAAAACCTACGTGTACGTAGGTGGTTAAGGAATCCCGGCGCATTTGCCATATTTATAAAATAAATATTTTAAAAATGTGTTTTTAACAGGCTTAATAATTGTTTAAAATGCTTTTAAAAAATATTTAAAAACTATTCCCAAAGTTAAAATAATTTTAAATAAAAGATTATACACCCGTACTGTTTTAAAATAATGAACGTAAACTTAACCTCTAAATTCTCGGTCATTTGCAACAAATGTTTTAATAACAATAAATTAATGTTTACATAATACTTAATTCGATGCTTAAATTCATAGAAATAGAAACATTAATTTTATTAATTATAAATGGTATAGAAACAATGGTAAATGAAATAAGGAGCTCTAAAGATAAATAAATAAGAAGTTTTTAATGTTCTATAAAATGTGCAATTTAAGGACTTTTGTTCATTTTAAGAGGTATAATTTATTATACAACAATGAAAACATTTTATTGAATTAAATAATTTGTTCTTTGTTTTAACGATCTAAGGTTCACGTTCAAAAATAGTAAATTATTTATGATTATTGACACAATTTTTTCCATTAACCTTGATTTTTAAGGCAATAAATCAATAAAAATTTAATAGAACATAAAATAATTAATTTATAATTGATATTTTCAACTTAAAATAAACTTAACAAAAAAGATTTAAGACAACAAATAATATACAGGATAAATTGCAAAAGCATAAAATTTTGACACCTTAGAAAGAAAAATAGTATTTATGTTGCTTAGTTTATCAACCAATACAAACAATATATAGTCGCCGCATTATTACAAAACCATGTGAAATAGATAAGCGGTATATTTATACCTTTTTAATATTTTTTTTGATAAGGCTTTTGTAGCTACCTGTGCGTTATTTAATTTTGCACGTTTTTAGTGACGTAAGTAATTATTAATTGGGTTTTTATTTGCAAATCCATCTTTCCCTAATTGGATTTTTTTAATCAATGAAAGCCAGGTAAATTTATTTATAAGTTGGCGGAGTCACGTGGTAGCTTATTAATACATATTTAAGGAAAATTATTCTAGGAGATTTATTTTAAAAAATGTTTTGTATTCTTAAAACAAATCCTAAGCTTTAAGTTGGTTGACAGTTGTCAAATGTCATGTAATCGTCAAAATAAAGTAAAAGTAAAAAAATACTAAATGTGGAAATTATTATCTTAATAAAAAATACAAAACTATTAAATAGTTTCTTGATAATCTTTAAGGAGTATATATGCACGTGTGTACTGATTTTTTAATTTCGCTGGCATCAAACTAGTTTTTGCCGATAAAGAAATAATTATTTCGGGTGGAGCACCCATAAAACATCCTATTCACTTTCGCTGCGAAAAATTGCTTCTATATCCTATTTAAACGATTTTGAACGTTTTTCCACTGTTGCCGGATTTTCTAGACGAGAATGACAGATTGATAATTTTGATTTGACACTATCTACATTATCGTTTATTATTGCAAAAGTGTGGGGTGAAAGTTAACAAAAATTTATAGGGCACTTCTATAGGAATAAGTGCATACAAATAAAAATGCATACATAGGAAATGTATTTAATTAACGCATATCTAATAAAATGACAATAATAAATCCATTTATTCTTCTCGTATGCACATAATATATTTTACCTGTTTAAGAGGAATATACATTTTTGTTAACATTCTCAATACAGTTTAGCGATAATAAACTATAAAATCTCGTGTAGTCTTAGCAATTTTAATAATTTTTACTCAGAACCCAGACAGCCAATCTTTCTAAAACTTTGTTAATATCTTTTAAGAAGACTTTACTATAGCCTAGAATTTTTTCAACATTTTCTCATAGCGAATCGACCGAACCTACTTAGGAAATAATTAAAATTATTATTATTATTAGGCCTTTCATCAAACTTGATACATAATATACTATTATTAATTAATTCTAGTTTAACATATTATTTATATAGATCCAGAAAGGTTTATAAGTCTTAGTTTAAAATAATAATAATTAAAGTAATTATAATTATGCATACGTGTATTTACGCATTTACTGTGCTATTTTTAAATAGATAAACGTTATAATATCTATAGTGATTTTTCTGTTTTGTTTTTGTTTAAAAGAAATAAATAATAATTAAATTTAGCTTACGTATAAAATATTAAAAAAAGTTTGCAAAAAAAACATTTTAAAAATGTTAAAACTTTTAGCCAAATTAAATATTTAAACGATTCATTATCAAACAGCAAGTTTGTTAAAATGTATTTACAAATATTTAATATTTGTTTATATTCCATTTTTTCAGTCCATTTTTGTAAATGTATATATTTTAAGTGGCCTATTTTAAGTCAGTGTTATAAAACCAAATCGGTCGAAATTTAAATTTTAAAACGGGAACAATATGTATTTTATTTTAAAAACGGTATAATCTGTTCTAGAGTATTTGCAAGTAAAATAGTCAAGAATCAATAATTTTAAACTTGAATACTTAAGTATTGCTTTTTTGTAAAATCTACTTTACCAGTATTGTCTAGTTATCTAGCAACTACATTAAACGCACATGTATAACCGAAATGACCTCTTAGGAGACATTGTAAAAAAATAATAATAATGCTGGTAAAGTGGATAAATGGATTTTAGTCACGAGTTTTAACTGGATAAGAGCAAAGTTTATACAAGCTAATAAATTTATTCAACAACCTAAAAAATAATTGAATCTATAAATACAAATTTTAATTGTTTCACGTTTTTATTTATAAATTATAGTTTTATAAATGAATTAAACCGAAAACCGCAACAATTAGAAATTTTATTAGAAATGCCTATCATGGTTTGTCTATTCAAAGAAACACTTTTAACGTTAATTAGGATTTAAAAAGATTTTTGTATATTATATAAATTAGTCTAGATTAAAACCTATACTGGTTCTGCAAGGCATTTCTAATAAAATGTCTAATTGTTGCGGTTTTCGGTTTAATTCATTTATAAAACTATTTAGGGCATTTAAAAATAGTCGTAAAGGTTGCTAGATATTTATAAAACGCAATGCCAGTAGGCTCTCGAACCAGATAAACAATATGGGCGGAAAATATCAGCCGCCTCGTAACTTAATCTTTGATTTGCGGTTTTGTGGAAACCGAGAAATTAATAGGCAAAACAAGACAAGGTAATATTAACGCCTAGATAAAATAGACACAAGGCTCGGCCGGAACACTGCAATTGACCTAATTCACGACGACGGCAAAGTGATTTTCATATACCTACATACATATGTAACTGCATGCGCTTGTGCTTTATTTTGTGCACTGTGGCGGAATGACGAAACCTTAACTAAAATAAAAATTTACATTGGTAGGTTTTAAAAACAAAAAGTCTAACAACAATTTTGAACAAAAATTACGCTCTTCAAAATAGTTTTGTCATTTTTTTTTCGTATAACCATCCATTATATATCGGAGGATATCGGAGGTTAAAGTTTAAAATAAAAAAAAATAACATTCTGCATTTCATAATTTGGTTGAAAGTTTACTTTTTTACTTGGGTATTACCTAAATATTAACCAATGATGGTTGCTGATAAAATTTATTTATTTTTATACCTATTTTTTAGATGTTAAGTTTTGTTTTAGTTGTCATTTTGTATTGACGCGACAACCAATCTTGCATTTTACAGAGGTCTTGGGTTTTAAAGCTTACTAGTTTTTAAAAAGTTTTAGAC